GAGACCTTTACGCCAAACCACTGTTAACAAACCCTGATCTATAACAACTTGTACTGCTGTGACCTTTGTAGTGAGGTACATTCATGCACTTTAGCCAGAGCTTTGACTCCATTGTATCTCATGATTTAATAATGGTATCCTACTATTGCACATCTGGTAACCTAGAAAAAGCAACAGCTTCCTAAGTGTAACATGTAAAGACCTTTTCAGGTACATAAACCAAAACATGGCCACATTCTCAAAGCCTTTACGATCACATCTTGAGTGTGACTATAAATGTAATGGCAAAAGAATAAAGGTATTCCTAGAAAGAAACCTATCCAAGCTCTCATTGTAAACAAACACACTATTTGGAGCCAATGATGTGGACATTGCAGCAGCTAGGAAACTAATTACTGGGGTAACATTTACATATTTTGGCAATGGGCTTCTTAAATTAAGCTTTTAAGTGCAGCACAGACTCAATGGGATAATAACAGAATGTGCTTGATTGAATTTCCATGGTTGAAGGCTCTTTAATGGAGGCCAGTGACCTTTAATAGAGGATGTTATGAAAGACGTTAGCAACAGAGAGAATCTGCACCACATGGCACCACCTGTACAACCTGATGAAGCTCTGTGATGTCTCTGATCTACTGGAGAGCTGGAAGTACAATAAGCTGTGAGACATGTTGTTCCTGTTGGTAATAATAACCAGACAGAAACAGAAGCAGTCAGGTGATCAGAGAGGTAATGAATCCTTGAACTGTCCGTTGTAAACAAATGTTACAGAATGCAGACCTACAACCTTTTCCTAAACAACCGGAAGTTGGAAAGATGATGGATCCTTATAACTTAGGACAGGGGTGTCAAACTCAAGGCCCGGGGGCCAAATCCGGCCCGTGACTTCATTTTATGTGGCCCCACAAGAGCTTGCAAAGAATATAATATGTTTATTATACGGTTACATGATGATTTACAGAAGCACGTTGCCCATAAACGACATGTCCCACAATGCATCTCAAATTTGACTTTTTCTCAGAATTTGACTTTTTTTGTCCAAATATGCCTTTTTTCTTAGAATTAGCCTTTTTCTCATAAATAGATTTTTTTTTCAAAATGTCACTTCTCTTTTTCAAAATGTCACAATCAATGTTTTTCCAGAATGTGGCTTTTCTTTTAAAATCATATTGTGACATTCTTACTGAAGAGACTTGCAATTATTTGCTCTAGACTTCTGCTTTCAGACGTAGTTAATTATGAAGTTATATTAATTAATGATATAGTCTTAAAGTTACAACCGGCCCTTTGAGTGCAACCATAATGCTGATGTGGCCCGTGATGAAATTGAGTTTGACACCCCTGACTTAGGAGATCATTTAACCTTTATCTAGCTCTATTATCAACATTTCTACTTTGTTTAGTGACCAATTACCATCAGAACTCAAGACATTCCCAAAAGACTCAGCTCTACTTTGTGCAAAAAATGTCTTTACCTCCTGCAGGGAGTTGTCAGCAGGATTACAGAAGAACTACTGACCCAATATTCACAACATTTGGTAAAAGGATTCATAAAAGACAAATTAAGAACCCATAACTTTTCTGGATGGGAAACTAATCGCATTCATGGAACCCCCTTGGTAGACGTCTGCGATCTCCGAATGCCTTTCTAGTTCGTGAAGGTGAGGGAACTTTACCTGTTCATTGGATTCATGGGTTTTTGGAAAAGTTAAGCGTGAAAATTACAAAACTTAGCTGAGATGGTTAGCTTCAAGTACCATTGTGACAAAAAGGGGTCTCAAAGAGCTTTTATTATCACTGCAGGCGACTTGCTTGATACACTTTGGACAGAAAATCATGGCTTCTTAAGGATTAATCCCAAGACCTTTGGTGATCACCTGACTTTTCATGTAGAGCCACCAGAAGGTGAACATTTGTTCTCATTCAAGTACATGTCTTTACATCAACTGGATGGATCAAAGTGTTAGTTGTACTTGTTGAGTTTCTTGCCCTGTTTGCACTTCTAAGATCTCAGCAATTACTAAGAATTATTGGAGTAGAGTGCCAAACTAATCCAATATGTGTTGCACCTTAGTACCCTTACATATGAAAGGATTTGTTGGCCATCAAGAAAAAGTATACAGGGAGATTTCTCCATTGGTCAGAAACTAAGTTAAGTGTCTTGCCCTGTTGCACTTCCCAGTTCTTAGCAATTACTAAGAATTATTGGACTAGAGTGCCAAACTAGACCTATGTTTGTTGCACCTTAGTACCCTTTCCCTGTATCCCCATTAACCTTATAAATAGGCTATCAATAAAAATACCTCTTGATTTATAAAGTGTACTGCAATCGGTCAGAACCTGGATGGATCAAAGCGTTAGTTTTACTGCTTGTGTTTCTTGCCCTGTTGCACATCCCAGTTCTTAGCAATTACTAAGAATTATTGGACTATAAAAATGTTTTTTGCACCTCAGTCCCCTTCCCCTGTATCCCCATCTTTCCCTCCCAACCTAACTAAGACAAGAATCAGAACCTGGATGGATCAAAGCGTTAGTTGTACTTGTTGAGTTTCTTGCCCTGTTTGCACTTCCAAGATCTTAGCAATTACTTTTAATTATTTGACTACTACAAATCCAATATGTGTCGCACCTTAGTACCCTTAAATATAAAATGATTTGTGTGCCATCAAGAAAGATATCTTCTAGAGTTATAAAGTGTACAGGGAGACTTCTCTATTGGTCAGAAACTAAGTTAAGTTTCTTGCCCTGTTGCACTTCCCAGTTCTTACTGTAGCAATTACTTAGAATTATTGGACTAGAGTGCCAAACAAATCCAATATGTGTTGCACCTTAGTACCCTTAAATATAAAGGGATTTGTGTACAGGGAGAGTTCTCCATTGGTCAGAAACTAAGTTAAGTTTCTTGCCCTGTTGCACTTCCCAGGTCTTAGCAATTACTAAGAATTATTGGACTAGAGTGCCAAACAAATCCAATATTTGTTGCACCTTAGTACACTTAAATATAAATGGATTTGTGTACAGGGAGACTTCTCTATTGGTCAGAAACTGGATGGATCAAAGCGTACGTTTCTTGCCCCGTTGCACATCCCAGGTCTTAGCAATAACTAAGAATGATTGGACTACAACAATGTTTGTTGCACCTCACTCTCGTTCCCCTGAATCCCCACCTTCCCATCTCACTTTCCCTCCCAACCTAACTAAGACAAGAGTCTTCTCCTCTGGTGGTGGTGCTGTGGATGGATCGTGGACGGTGTGGAAGAGCTGTGAAAAGACAAAGCCACGACAGAGAAAACAGGTAACAGCATGTCCAGCGGACTGAGAGCTGATGGGAGGGAGGCAGGGGGGCGATTCGCGGGATGGGGCCCTACCTCCCGTGATCATTGTACTGAAAACCCAAGCCACCATGGTGGGGTGGTCGAGTGGTCGGTGGTGGGAGTTTAAAAGGAACACAGAACATGCTGGAAACTCTGTACCTTTCAATGTGCCTCCAGAGAGGGCCCAACCCGGAACCAATAAATCTAGAGGAATGAGACCGTGTTAGTCAGGGAGAAGCAGAAGAAAAGCAAAAGGACGGAAGAGATTTGAAACAGGAGAGAGTTAAAGAGAGAGAAAGAGGGAAAGAGGGATGGAGTAAGGCCAGAAGGAAGCGGTGCAAGATAAAAAAGCTGGTTTTATGTTCCTATGATTTGTCTTTCCAGAGATTCTGAGTCCAGTTTTTTTGTTTTGTTTTGTGACCATCAGGAAGGCCGTTGACTCTCAAACCAAAAATCCTCAAACCAGAGCATTTTACAACCACCTTACGAACTGCTTTCTATTGAGTTGCACCCATAAGCTGTCTTTTTCTATAAGCAACCTTGACCTCTTTGCGTACAAAAAAGGTTTCCTGGTGAAAAAAAACCAAGCTAGGTAAAACAAGGAAAAGCAAAAACTGGGGAACAAACGTATACATATGAAAAGGATTTGTGTGCTATCAAGAAAAAGAGTGTATATGTATTCTGGGAGGGTTCTCGATTGGTCGGATGCCATTGGGCAGACGCCTCCTGAAAAAGGAAGATCAATATCCATCTGTATTTCTCAAGAGTTGTACGTAAACATTTCTATCGTCAAATAACATTATCAAGTCATGAAGACGAAAACTTTAAGAAACCAATAAAGCCCACTGCTCCTTTTACAAACTGAAAAAGAAAGTCCCTTAAGATTAAGTAGGGTAAAAACTATAGGCAGATGCTCGATGTTTTCACATATAGGAGGCAGTGGAAAGAATACAAAACCAAACCAAGCCAACAACTCCTATACAGCCGGAGGGGAGGGGGAACTCCTACAAATCTCACCTTAACTAAAGGCAAACTAAAGGGGGAGAATCTTCATTTTCTTCCAGAATTGAGTCCCTGCCCCTGCGGCTGTACTAAACCACATGCAGAAGAGGGGAAGGGAGGGGGGTCGTTTTTTAAGGCGGTTAAATAACCAACGACTCCCCCTTCCTCTAGCTCTGTGTACCCACCACCATGCAAGCCCCTCCGTCAGCACTCACTGGGCATGCTCCATCCCAAGCATCTACGGTAGACCAGGCAAGGTGAGGGAAAAAAGGGGGGATAGGATGGGGGGGGGGGGGGCTAAAAACACCAGAGGTCAGCTGATCGAACTCTGCAAAAAAAAACGGACGATTATGGAAGCTTTCCTGAACACCCAGCTGGGTCAATTAGACGCTGGAGTTGAAGGAGAGCTTCCAAAAGTCTGGAGCTGCAGAGCCAGACGAGGTGACCGCCGGACTGCAACGGAAAACTAACCCTAGAGGGTCTACGGGGAGAGAAAAAAAGGGGGGGAAAGGATCTACCGCAGAGTAGCAACTGTAGCCGGGTCTAAAGCTCACTAATTGGGTTCTTCCGGATTCGGCCATACCAAATCAAAAAGCGGAAAGTATAAAAAAGGCTCAGGCTCAAATCAAGCAGGACTCAGAAAGATGTGGAAAGACTACCGACCAGCCAGCTCCTTCTCCTTACTCCGTCTCTTTTTCTCCATGCGTTTCAGTCTCTTCTCCTCCCTGCGCTTGGCCTCCTCGGCCTCTTGGTGGCGCCGGCACTTGTGGAAGTTCTCCACCACGACGCCCACGAACATGTTGAGCACGAAGAAGGCCACGATCAGCAGGAAGGAGATGAAGTACAGCAGCATCCACGGGTTGTAGTTCATGACCGGCTGGAACACAGGACACAAGGGATTGGTCGATTTTTCAAGATTTCAAGATTTCAAGGCTTTTATTGTCCTTTGTACATAGCGTAGGGAAAATAGTGATTGTCCTCTTCCAATATGAGAGTACACATGATAACAAAGGTATCCCAACTGTAGCTGTGAACATGACAGGATGTATGATTACCTAGAAGAGCATCAGGACTGTTTTAGGCATATGATAGCTATGTGATTAACATGATGATTCAGCCTCTATGGAGATAGACATATGTCTGGTGGTTTCAGACTCAGGGACTTTGTAGACATTTGCAGAACAATCCTTCAAAAAAAAGGCGGGTAAGAATTCCTAAGTGGATGCCCAATGTTTCAATATAATCACCTGTTGGTCAACTCCTACAGCGTCCAGTCCGTAATACATGATGTCCACCCAGCCGTCTTTGGACGCCAGAACAAACAGAGACATCAAGGCCTGAGAAATGGAGAAGAAAGGACATATTCCTTGTTAAAGTCAAATGTATTTTTTGATCAGACATCTTGCTATTTGCGAGGCCTCACCTGTCCAAGGTTGTCGAAGTTGTACTTGTGTCTGACCCACTTCTTGTTGGCCTGCAAACAGTCCGACTTGTTGGTGACGTTTCCGATATCTTCTCCTTGGCAAATAAAGAACTTCCCCTTGAAGAGCTGGGGAGAAAAACACAGATTTGATTTTACAGTCAGATGGTTTCGGGAATTTCTAATATCATCTCAAAATACATTTCCAGAAGATGCATACAATTTCAAATGTATATCTGGTGATTCTACAGTAACTCTTATCCACAAGTTCCTGTATAAATGAGAAACAAGTATGCCAGTGGTGGAAAAGTTATATTTTGACGCAATCAAGTGGAAAAAAATGGAAAAAGCGGATCTACTTTTCCATAATTTGATCCTTATTTAGCGCCGCTACACGTATATAGGGAATATCAATGGATTCTTTATTTTCATTAGCCATGTAAACAGCTTCAAAGAAGTAAAAAAAAACTGCATATTCTTTTACTTAAAGGGGACCTATCATGCAAAATGCACTTTTGTACGTCTTTTATACATGAATATGTGTCCCCGGTGTTCCAGGGAACTCACCAAGTGTCAGAAAACACAACCCTCTCTATTTTCCTCCATACCCAAATCTCTAAAAAAGGGGCTGCAACGGATCTGATAAAAACTGATCCAGATTTGAACACTGTCCTGACGTCAGGACGGTGGCGCTACGGCTATTGGGCCAACTCCACCAATCAGGAGGAGACAGCCACGGCCATTGCCGTTCGAAAGCGCTGGAGACGCTGTAGTACATATGCCAGGCCTGTAGATGGTGCTGTTCTCACTGAATCAGCCCTTGCTAAAACAGAGCTAAAAAATGTCAAATTGAGCAAAATGAGGCATGGCTAAAATGCATGATCTGTTTGGTATTTAAAAAAAAAAAAGTATAAATATGCCTTATATAGGTATGGTCCTACACTATATTATTATAATATAGCATGATAGGTCCACTTTAAACAAGGTCCTACTAATAAAGATCAGTCTCATTAAGAGGAGAACATTTCCCAGTTACTTCAAGTCGTCTAGTTTATCCACATTTTAAACGGACAGTGTGTTGGATTCGGTGGAATCTAGACTTCTTAGTAGAATATTTGATATACCTTATCTGTGTATTCCTCAAACTTGCAACTTAATATGTATTCCTTATTTACTGTAACCTAATATGTGAATATGGTGTAACATTATGCACTTCACCTGCTGTTTGCAGTTCTGGTTGGATGCAAACTGCATGTTGTTGTGCAATGACAATAAAGTTGAATCTAATCTAATCTAAAGACTGCAATCAACTGAATGGCCACTAAAAGGTTTTTATTTCCTTTAGTTAACGCCAGGATAGCCGATTGTCACCACTTCCATGTTTGCAAAGCTACGCTACCTGGCTGCTAGTCATATGTTTATTTTACTTGGAAAACACATTGCAAATGAGTGTTATTATCCCAGACTAAGGATATAAAAGGGATACTAGCAGCTTCCAAACCTCTCGTGCAAAAGACAGTAAAGGCTCCTTGGTGTATAATAAATCAGACATTAATCACAGGTCAGTGAATGTGTACTTATGTTCTGGGAACATTACGACATGTGTTCACATCCGAAGGTTGAGGGCTATGTAGTGAATTCTCCGCCCCTCTTTTAACGACTGACAGCTTGTTCCTCCTCATTAACCCTTTGAGATTCTGCCTCACGTATACAGAAGGTTTATGGACGTACAGACGCTGATGGACAGGAGCCTGAAGGCCACACGGCGGCTCGTTGGGATGGATTTGCTCTCGGGCTGTTAGCCATGAATCCTCCATCGCAACCAGATAAGCATACGTTAACATCCAGGTGTGTGAGGTATAGGGAAGAGTTGCTTTTCTTGCTTTGTATTTGTCCGTTTATTTCATTATACAGAATCACTTTGTTAACAACATAATTAGATTTTTATTTCTTATATATATATTTTTTTTAAATTTTTTTTTAAATGTATTCTTCTCCAAAGCCACTATTTCAAGGATGCTATGTCATCGAGTCCCGCCGAAGGACTGTTGCAATGTCCAGGCTCCTTGGAATTCTACCGAGCCCGGCGTCCTTCGTTGTGGGAAATTTCGAGGCTGCACATGTGTATCCTCCGCGGTCTTAAAATCCCCACAATGCTTTGCGCACGGAACAATTTCCACAATCTTTGGCGGAAATCGCGCTCCATTTAAAGCGGGGCCTCGTGTATGACGCACACCTGCACACCTGTTAGCCTGTTCCTCCATTCTTCGTTTTCTGAGGCTAGGAAGGATTGTTGCCTCGCTTCTGAAGGACCTGACTCGGAAGACATGTGCTACCAAGGAAGCGTCCTCGACATTGAGAAACACCCACGGTCCTGTGTTTATTGACTTTTTATTTTTATTTTATTAATTTATTATTTATTGAAAAACATTTATTTTTCTTCAATTCTTTTTTACAAATAGCATAGGTAATAAGAGCCAACATTTAAAAAACTGAAATACAAAATGAAAACATGTATAAATGAATTCAAATAAATAAGAAAACCCAAAACCTAAGCATTTAGAGTTCAATTAACGCTGATAACGAGGCAATGACTCATAAAACAGAGAGATGATTTCACAAATATTCATACACACTTACCCCTGATCATATACCGACAGTTGTGGGAGTATATTTCAATAATTTGCAGCAGGAGGATAATATATATTTGTCACCACCGATCATATAACTACAGCACTGCTATCTGCAGGGACTTTAGGATGTAAGTAGTTCCAAGAAAGTGAATTATTGTGGGAGTGTTTGTCAAACTGTCGCAGCAGGAGGTTAATATTTCTTTGTCACCACTGTCAGGACTGTTTTAGTGTTTTCTCATCGTGTGTGTGTTTGTGCGTGTGTGTGTGTGTGCGTGTGTGTGCACGTGTGTGTGTGTGTTTCCCTCTCACCTGCACTCCCAGGATGCCGAAGATGATGAAGAAGGCGCAGCAGATCACCACGATGTTCCCGATCGGCTTCAGCGACGACATCAGAGTCTCCACCACGAGTTTCAGCCCCGGAGCCCTGCTGATCACTCTGAAAACACAGCAAGAGACAGGGGGTTAGTGTGTGTGTGTGTGTGTGTGTGTGTGTGTGTGTGTGTGTGTGTGTGTGTGTGTGTGTGTGTGTATGTGTGTGTGTGTGTGTGTGTGTGTGTGTGTGTGTGTGTGTGTGTGTATGTGTGTGTGTGTGTGTGTGTGTGTGTAGGCCACTGTAAGGTCAGTCACAGCTCAGACCAGATGGAGCAGGGATGCCTGCAGCGCTCCAAACTCACCCCCCAGGCACAGGCACACACACACACATACACACACACACACACACACACACACACACACACACACACACACCACACACACACACACATACACACACACACACACACACACACACACACACACACACACATCCGCACATGCTCACCCAACACACAGGTCTCCATGAGTAATCGCACAGATGCACACAATAATATGATGTTATAGATGTATTTGTTCTATGTCCTATATATATATGTTGCACTGTCGTAGGAGGACTTCAGTCTTTCATTGCCATATCTGCACTGAAGCTACTGTACAAATGACAATAAAGCCTTGCAACTTGAAACAGAGCAGCCTCAGTCTGTCAGAGATCAGCTGCTCTGTGTGCAGACAGTCAATAGCACATTAAAAGAAGACATGAGATAATAAAAGGCCAGCCGCCACCGAGGCCACAGATCAATACGCCCGATCACTGCGCTAAACCTCATCACTCTGCACTCTGATACGCTGCTGCAAAGCATTATGGGATGCAGTACCACTGATGCTCTATAGAGGGCGCTGGTGTCTCCTTTAAGATCTGATGCAGCAGTGCTGGTATGTTTGCATTGCATTCCTCCGCAGAGGAAGGAGCTGAAGTGTTTTATAACAGAGAAGAAGGATAACCCCTCTACGTTAGCAACTACCACATATATTGTACAGTCTGATAGGAATGCAACACACTCCAAAGAGCTGCAGATGCTTGTAGAATCCTTCTTTATAGGCAATGTTGAATATTCAAAGCCTTTATTGTCACATGCAGCGTAGTTTTGGCAATGAAAAACTTAAGTCGTACAAACAATGCAACATACAAGACGTAAACACAAATATAATAAAATATGCAAATACATGCAGACATAAGTATACACTTGTAGTGTCTCTACTTTAAAGAGTCCTCTCCTGCTGATGTTCAGGTGTATATCAGTATGCAGTGTCTCTACTTTAAAGAGTCCTCTCCTGCTGATGTTCAGGTGTATATCAGTATGCAGTGTCTCTACTTTAAAGAGTCCTCTCCTGCTGATGTTCAGGTGTATATCAGTATGTAGTGTCTCTACTTTAAAGAGTCCTCTCCTGCTGATGTTCAGGTGTATATCAGTATGTAGTGTCTCTACTTTAAAGAGTCCTCTCCTGCTGATGTTCAGGTGTATATCAATATGTAGTGTCTCTACTTTAAAGAGTCCTCTCCTGCTGATGTTCAGGTGTATATCAGTATGTAGTGTCTCTACTTGAAAGAGTCCTCTCCTGCTGATGTTCAGGTGTATATCAGTATGTAGTGTCTCTACTTTAAAGAGTCCTCTCCTGCTGATGTTCAGGTGTATATCAATATGTAGTGTCTCTACTTTAAAGAGTCCTCTCCTGCTGATGTTCAGGTGTATATCAGTATGTAGTGTCTCTACTTTAAAGAGTCCTCTCCTGCTGATGTTCAGGTGTATATCAGTATGTAGTGTCTCTACTTTAAAGAGTCCTCTCCTGCTGATGTTCAGGTGTATATCAGTATGTAGTGTCTCTACTTTAAAGAGTCCTCTCCTGCTGATGTTCAGGTGTATATCAGTATGTAGTGTCTCTACTTTAAAGAGTCCTCTCCTGCTGATGTTCAGGTGTATATCAGTTTGTAGTGTCTCTACTTTAAAGAGTCCTCTCCTGCTGATGTTCAGGTGTATATCAGTATGTAGTGTCTCTACTTTAAAGAGTGCTCTCCTGCTGATGTTCAGGTGTATATCAGTATGTAGTGTCTCTACTGTGATACTGTCTGTGCTGCAGCACCTCGTTTCACCCTCTGTCAGAAACCAGAGCCCAGTCTGTGTTGGAGAGCTAGCCAATAGGAGGGAGAGTGCTACATAGTGAGGTCCCTATGATAGGAAAGTAAACAAAGGAGTCCAATGGAGGCGTTTCAGGCTTTTAAGAGTAAAATAAAAACGTGTACAAGTTAGGAAGTAAGCGAGTTTGCAAAGTCCATCAAGGACACAAACACATCGTTTAGTCGCTCAGATCAAACAATACCTGCCAGATTAAATGTTTCCACACGCCGCTGCTTAGCATGAAACCCTCTTTACACCATGTCCTCCTTCTGAGCTGCAACTCAACAAACACTGAGAGGGGAACACGGCTGATTAAGGAGAACAGATGAGCCTCTCTTTCAGAGTCAATACACTCTGATGACGAAGGACACACACTCTGATGACGAAGGACACACACTCTAATCACGAAGGACACACACTCTGATGGCGAAGGACACACACTCTGATGACGAAGGACACACACTCTGATCACGAAGGACACACACTCTGATGACGAAGGACACACACTCTGATCACGAAGGACACACACTCTGATGACGAAGGACACACACTCTGATGACGAAGGACACACACTCTGATCACGAAGGACACACACTCTGATGACGAAGGACACACACTCTGATGACGAAGGACACACACTCTGATGACGAAGGACACACACTCTGATGACGAAGGACACACACTCTGATCACGAAGGACACACACTCTGATGACGAAGGACACACACTCTGATCACGAAGGACACACACTCTGATGACGAAGGACACCCACTCGTCTCCACACAGTCGATTAGCATATGACACAAATACAAAAGAAAATTGAGGATGAGGAGGAGCCGGAGGGAGAAGAGTATAGGCTTCTTCTTTATGTCTCAAACCTTCTGCATAATGTCACAGCACATCACAGCGTACACACACACACACACACACACACACACACACACACACACACACACACACACACACACACACACACACACACACACACACACACACACACACACACACACACACACACACACACACACACACACACACACACACACACACACACACACACACACACACACACACACACACACACACACACACACACACACACACACCTCCACCTTGCTGTGTTCAATTCTACAGATGTCCGTCCTCTACAGCTGTCTGATTCTCACACTCACTATGCATGAGCAAATTAGTGAAATGTAAACTGCTAAGCTAACACATCAAGGTGCCCCGTACATATACTGTCATCAAAAACACTGGAACATATCGTAATTTTTAAGATACGCTTATATTTTGAAATGTCGTCTGTTTTGCCTTTCCCATCCAAGTTCACCTACCTCCTAATCATGAAATGTAAAACAACAGGAGGTGTGTTTTTAGTTTTTAAGATGCAACTAGCAGCACTAGCACAATATAGGGCGCTATATTTCAAAATGAAATGTGTCACCCTCGGAAAATGAGGTATCGAGGTAGTTGGTGTAATACACACTAACATAAAAGCGAGTGTTGTTGCATTAGCTGCGTCTCTGAGGTTTATGAATGAAGACAGTGTGTGTGTGTGTGTGTGTGTGTGTGTGTGTGTGTGTGTGTGTGTGTGTGTGTGTGTGTGTGTGTGTGTGTGTGTGTGTGTGTGTGTGTGTGTGTATGTGTGTGTGTGTGTGTGTGCATGTGTGTGTGTTAAACAAAGCTGATGCATCATTATGTCACTCCCCTGTATACAGTCATTAATGCCTCTAATGAGAAACAAACAGACACCTGCACACACACACACACACACACACACACACACACACACACACACACACACACACACACACACACACACACACACACACACACACACACACACACAGGAATACAAAGTCACCTGTTTGCAGCAATTATACCCACACACACACACACACATACACACACTCGCACACACACACACACACACACACACACACACACACACACATACGCACACTCGCACACACACACACACACACACACACACACACACACACACGCACACACACACACACACACACACACACACACACACACACACACAGTCGATCCGGAGTGACAACAAGCAGAGAAACAAACAATCACACTTTTCGTTGGTGGAAAATCAAATATATTCTTTACCACAGCACTGAGACTGCTCTTGTAAAGGTCTTCAATGACATCCACTTAAACACAGACAGTGGCAGAACTTCAGTGTTAGTATTATTAGATCTCAGTGCTGCGTTTGACACTGTTGACCACAACATATTACTAGACCGACTGGAAAACCGGGTGGGACTTTTGGCAACAGTTCTAAATTGGTTTGAGTCCTACTTAAAGGACAGAAAAAACTTTGTTTCTATAGGTAAATACACATCTGAGTTGACAAATATGACATGTGGGGTACCTCAAGGCTCCATCTTGGGGCCTCTTCTCTTTAACATCTACATGCTACCACTGGCTCAGATAATGAAGAACAACAAAATAAGTTACCATAGCTATGCGGATGACACACAAATGTACGTAACAATTTCACCAGGAGATTATGCTCCAATTCAAACACTGAGTAAGTGCATTGAACAAATCAATGACTGGATGTGTCAGAACTTTCTCCAATTAAACAAAGATAAAACTGAGGTAATGGTTTTTGGAGCCAAGGCAGAACGTATAAAAGTTAGCGCTGAGCTTCAGTCTGCAATGTTCAAAACAACAGATGAAGCCAGAAATCTAGGTGTAGTCATGGACTCTGACCTGAGTTTCAACAGTCACATTAAAACAGTTACTAAATCAGCCTACTATCACCTAAAGAACATATCTAGGATTAAAGGACTAATGTCACAGCAGGATTTGGAAAAACTTGTCCATGCTTTTATCTTCAGTAGACTCGACTACTGCAATGGTGTCTTTACAGGTCTCACTAAAAAATCTATTAGAAAGCTGCAGCTGATTCAGAACGCCGCTGCTCGAGTCCTCACTAACACTAAGAAAGTGGATCACATCACTCCTGTTCTGAAGTCCTTACACTGGCTTCCTGTGTGTCAAAGAATAGATTTCAAAATACTGCTGCTGGTTTATAAAGCTTTGAATGGTTTAGGCCCAAAATACATGTCTGACCTCCTGCTAAATTATGAACCATCCAGAACCCTCAGGTCTTCAGGGACTGGTCAGCTTTCTGTCCCCAGAGTCAGAACTAAACATGGTAAAGCAGCATTCAGTTATTATGCTCCGAATATCTGGAACAAACTCCCAGAAACCTGCAGGTCCGCTGCAACTCTTACTACTTTTAAATCCAGGCTGAAGACTTTTCTTTTTGCCGCTGCTTTTAATTGAACTATTCACATCTTAAACTGCACTGTAACTTTTAACTTTTATCCATGTATTTTTTCTTTTAATGTTTATTTTATTATCTTTTCTTTTTAATGATTTTAAATGCCATTTTCATAATGTCTTCCATTTTTGTAAAGCACTTTGAATTGCCTTGTGTTGAAAGGTGCTATATAAATAAACTTGCCTTGCCTTGCCTTGCCTTCAGTCTGCACGCATAGGTATCGGACAAACAGGTCTCAATACACACTGTATGCTGTGTCTCAATTTGGATACTTCCCACAGTAAATGCAGTGTGTGGTTTTCTGATCGCTTTGCATCATCTCAAATCACAGATGGCTGTACCCTCAACACAAGAGACAATTGCTGCTGGTAGCTAGGGAGCTAGCTAGAAACGTTATTGTTTGCGGTATACAAATCCTTACAGACAACTAACTGCCAACCAACCCATTAAAACGATCTTCTTTTAGACGCCAGTATAGTGTTACGTGACCTAAGTAGTAGAAAAGCCCACTCAAAGCTGAAGAAAGTAAGTAGAGAAGTATGCAATTTAAGAAACACCAATAAATAGGGTTTGTGTTGTTGTGTTTTGCAGAAGCATTCGTACAGTATCTCCCCAAATTAATGTGTATTCACTACTTTAAAGGGGACCTATCATACAAAATGCACTTTGGTACGTCTTTTCTACATGAATATGTGTCCCCGGTGTTCCAGGGAACTCACCAAGTGTCAGAAAACACAACCCTCTCTGTTTTCCTCCATACCCAAATCTCTAAAAAAGGGGCTGCAACGGATCTGATAAAAACTGATCCAGATTTGAACACTGTCCTGACGTCAGGACGGTGGCGCTACGGCTATTGGGCCAACTCCACCAATCAGGAGGAGACAGCCACGGCCATTGCCGTTCGAAAGCGCTGGAGACGCTGTAGTACATATGCCAGGCCTGTAGATGGTGCTGTTCTCACTGAATCTGCCCTTGCAAAAACAGAGCTAACATTTTTCAAATAGAGCGAAATGAGGCATGGCTAAAATGCATGATCTGTTTGGTATTTTGAAAAAAAATGTTATAAATATGCCTTATATAGGTATGGCCCTACACTATATTCAAATATAGCATGATAGGTCCACTTTAAGAGAAACACGTCTTCAATACAACCTGAGCAGTAGCTCTCTCTGTGTTGACCCGACTGAATGACCTCGAACAGGCTTTTAAATACCTGCCGTTTACAGAATATCCACAGTTTCATACGCTGAACCCTTTAATGCTTTGCTCCTCCGTCTGGATTCACACTTAATAACTACATCACAGATGATTTTACAGAATGACTTAAACTATAACTCGTCTGCAGCCTCAGCACAGATCCTCCTGTCTTCCTGTTTCTTCCCCCCCTCTCATAATCCTGTTTCTCTCGCTGCCATTTTGCATTTCTCTCAAACTGAAGACCACCTTAGCTCTGGAGAATATTTACCGTCAAAACTTCACATTTGTCCGTGTGTCATTGCTTCATGTTTTCTAATCTGACTCTAAGACCCCCCCCTGCCTGACGGTAATGCGCCTCTGTGGGGATTAAAGCAGAGAGAGAGGCAGGTACTCAGATGTCACAGCACATCTAATTACAAACAACTTGGTTTAATGTCACAGAAACACTTCTGTTACGTGTATACTGCAGTCAAAGTGTTTCTTGGAGGAAAATGTGGAGCGTTGACAAGGAAAAAATGACTAGATTGATCCGACATGCAGGGTGGATTTATCCGTTATGCTTTACTCAAGAAAACAGCCCTTTGAGTTGCCTTCTAGTTAGCAAGGCCTCAAATCCCAACAATGAACGTATTGAATAGGCCGTATTCTGCTTTTTGGGGTTTTCCCTTTCCTGTAGTGTGTTATAGCTTTTAGTGCATGTCAATGGTCTTAAAAATACATGTTTTTTTGTGTTCATTTATTTATAATGCATGTACAAAAAGCTCTTTTTGGAGAAAGTGCATGTGCTGTATGGGTGAAGAAATTAAATGAATCAAATAAATACAATATTTTGCGAATGGGTCGGATTGCACAAAAGATAATAGAAAATGTGACGCAAATGAATTACACCAATAACATCACACTGACTTGAGGTCTGCTGAGATCTGAGAAGAGAGTAATATTTCTCTTTAAAGTCAGAGGTGAGAGTAAAGAAAGCCAAAAGTAGACAGAGAAGATCAGAGGGTACATTTGTCGGTGGGATGAAAATGAATATTTGATTTGCGTGTTTCTCTGTGATGAATATTAACGAGAGCTTCCCTTCACGAGAGGAGACGAGAAGCCAAGCGTGACGATGCACACACATGCAAATTACACACACACCAACAGGCCACACACACACTCGCAGGAAAAACACATTCTCCATTCCCCTCTGCACCCACACACACACACACACACTCATATTGGGATGTATAAGAACAAACAAAATCTCCAAATTGGTTATTTTCCGCCTCATTTCCGCTCAAATAAACACGACTGTGTACACGCTAACAATAACACACGCATGTATGCATGCTAAAATAAGCCTGTACACACACACACACACACACACACACACACACACACACACACACACACACACACACACACACACACACACACACACACACACACACACACACACACACACACACACACACACACACACACACACACACACACACACACACACGTCACATAATCTCAGTCTGCCTCAGTTTTCAAACCAGACGTCCAATCGGCAGCTGGAGTGTGGGAAGTGGAGGGATTATAACGTGAGGTCGCCGAGTGCTTATAACCTCAAATATCTTTCATTATTAAATATTCCATTTTGGGTTTGTTACAGCATGTGGCGAACACTTCAGTGAGGGTTTGAGCGTCACTGAGTTCCAGGAGTTCAAACCAAGCTCTCAAAATAGGTTTTTAATGAAGTGTGCAGCCTCATTCAAAGCCTAGAGACAAAAGAGTTTCCATTCAAACCTCATTTGTGTTTACCCCACAGCCATTAAAGAATAATACGATGCATTTTGGGCTTTTCATTTGAAGCTTTGGCAAATTCAATTTAGGTTGTTGCTGAGTCATTTTGGCACAATGGGCTATTTTCCAGGTTTCTAATTATTGATCCCAGACAGAGTCAAATGAAACATAGGAATAATGTTGGTAAGGAATGTGAAAAAATAAGATTTATATATTAGTTTTGCACGCAGATATATATATATATATATTTGTATCCATTTTTAAAATGATGCACAAAGGTTAATATCCCTCCGCAAGGACGTCCAAATATCTTACTGTTGCTATGTTATATCTTATTCTACACGTACATAGTTTACCTATTTACAGTTTGAAGTGCACTATTGTATATGCAAGTAAACATGTGTATTATATACGGAGCCTGGGACTGTTTGTGCAATGCGACAATTAAACCTCTCAATCTATTGTGTTTCTCTGTGTGTGTGTGTGTGTGTGTGTGTGTGTGTGTGTGTGTGTGTGTGTGTGTGTGTGTGTGTGTGTGTGTGAGGTGTGTGTGTGTGTGTGTGTGTGTGTGTGTGTGTGTGTGTGTGTGTGTGTGTGTGTGTATACAGGTATTTTCCTCACCGTAGGGGTCTGAGGGTCCTGAGGAGCCGCAGCACTCTCAGCATGCCGAGGATCTTGGTGCCGGAGTTTGAGAGGAGAGAGACGAGGATGTCGATGACGGAGATCATCACCAGCATCCCGTCCAGAAGGTTCCAGCTGCTCCTCAGGTACGACTTCTCCCCGAAGCACCAGCCCAGAGACACGATCTGCAACCAGAGAGGAAACACACCAAGGTTGGTGATTCAAGTACAAGATCTGAGTACTTCTACTTTTACTCAAGTACAAGATCTGAGTACTTCTACTTTTACTCAAGTACAAGATCTGAGTACTTCTACTTTTACTCAAGTACAAGATCTGAGTACTTCTACTTTTACTCAAGCACAAGATCTGAGTACTTCTACTTTTACTCAAGTACAAGATCTGAGTACTTCTACTTTTACTCAAGTACAAGATCTGAGTACTTCTACTTTTACTCAAGCACAAGATCTGAGTACTTCTACTGTTACTCAAGTACCAGATCTGAGTACTTCTACTGTTACTCAAGTACCAGATCTGAGTACTTCTACTTTTACTCAAGTACAAGATCTGAGTACTTCTACTGTTACTCAAGTACCAGATCTGAGTACTTCTACTTTTACTCAAGTACCAGATCTGAGTACTTCTACTGTTACTCAAGTACAAGATCTGAGTACTTCTACTGTTACTCAAGTACCAGATCTGAGTACTTCTACTTTTACTCAAGTACCAGATCTGAGTACTTCTACTTTTACTCAAGTACAAGATCTGAGTACTTCTACTTTTACTCAAGTACAAGATCTGAGTACTTCTACTTTTACTCAAGCACAAGATCTGAGTACTTCTACTTTTATTCAAGGACAAGATCTGAGTACTTCTACTTTTACTCAAGCACAAGATCTGAGTACTTCTACTTTTACTCAAGTACCAGATCTGAGTACTTCTACTTTTACTTGAGGAACATTTTGAATGCAGGACTTTTACTGTAACAGAGTATTCTTACAATGGTATAAATATATTTATAAAACGGACAAGTAAAATCAAGCAATCTGATTGGTTCTTACCCGTGGTATACTGAGCGTATACCACGGGTAGAATTGTAAGTTACTTTTCACAACAACTCAGTATCCCTCCGCGTCTGAGATAAACAGTATACAGTTGGGCTGACTGGAACAAGAAAGCAGCGGAGAAGTAACGGGGCAGAAACCCTCCTTTTTACGCAGCGGTCCAGACATAGACATCAAACGGCAAAACATATTCAGTGTGCAGTTCCTTTGGCATTAGGGCAGGGATATTTAGATACTTTCCAAGGTTTGACTTAATGAATTGTGCTACTTTTAAAGCAAGCAACGATGTTTTCAAATCTGTAATCAAAAAGGTCCGCAACAACATTTAAGATTAACTTTGACCTCCGGGGGGGGGGGGGGGGTCTTACTATGGAGGAGTGGATTGAGGAGTGCCTATCTCCAGAACAAAAAGCACCTAAACGACGACATGTAGAGCTACGTGAAGAGCAGGTAGACCAACTGGAAAAGTACCACCATTCAAAAGCTTTCTGATGCGGGTCTTGAAACAAAGCAGAGAAATTATGACCGTTAGTGGCCACAGGTGCGAAAGCTCTCTCCAGAGCTACTGGAAGCCGAATCTCGGGGACCGGAGAAAGTGGAGCAATATTCTCGCCACGCCAAACAACAGCCTAGAACAACCTCAACCTATACAAGTAACCACGTAAGCCATGCTACTGATGCTGGACAGTTTTTCAGTGGGTGCACAATAAACTTCGCGTCGGGCCGAACCACGCCCCTTAGCTGTGATATAATGAGCATATACCACGGCCTGTCGTGAGCTATTGCTTAAATATATATTTCTTTGACTCTAAACGATCCGTAACTCAATATGTGTTTCTGTGCGTTGCAGATTGTTTGTTATAAAACCATCTTCTTATTGGCTCTGCAGCGAGGAACAGAAAGCGCCTCATTTCTAATTCTATAGGCTCCGCTCATCAATTATTCTGCACATGAAGCAATTTGCATTCCAGAAAGTAACAGAGACTTGTGTTGCTGCAGAAACTTATTAAATCAGGCCAGCACAGCTATTCCTGTTTTATTAACCCTTGGTGTAAGAGATGCATTACTGATGCTAATCAATGCACAGCAGAATATACTGTCTACATCACAGAGAGACCAATAACACCACCCTGCTGTTTCTACTGGAATAAACTGGGTTATTTTGAATATTTGTGTATAATATTGAGTGTTTTAAATACATATTACAAGTCTTTGGTTGTGATGCTACTGTTTTCATTCATATATCAAGCAGTACAAAACTACTAGGTGTACATGAACTGATAAAAGGTTAAGTATTTAAGGTACACATACAGTATGCAGTGGAAGTCATTCAACCAAACACAAGTTTAGTTAGTTCTTAGTTCAGTTCTGCAACACATTTGCTCAGATAATCTTTTTGTATCTGATATTTAATCAACTTTGCACGACACAAACAGATTCATTGTTATCTACATTACATGCAGTGAAATCATTTTTGCTTTCAAAAATACATATCTTTTATATATTATCATTTATTTACATATTTTTTTTTATATCTAATATAATATTTCTTACATATTGTTTTTATCAATTCCTTTTAATAATTGTTTTAATATTCTATTTATTTTAAAATATGTTTTTATTATAAAATAAATTACCTTTTGTGTGTGTGTGTGTGTGTGTGTGTGTGTGTGTGTGTGTGTATGTGTGTGTGTGTGGTGTGTGTGTGTGTGTGTGTGTGTGTGTGTGTATGTGTGTATGTGTGTGTGTGTGTGTGTGTGTGTGTGTGTGTGTATGTGTGTATGTGTGTGTGTGTGTGTGTACGACATAGGTCCGTGAACCCATCAATTCCCCCGCTACCAAAAATAGAGACGGCTCTGAATGAGTGACAACGGTGAACTTTTCTCACCTCTGTCTCCCCCCCAAACACCCCCATTCAGAGAGTGTGTGTGTGTGTGTGTGTGTGTGTGTGTGTGTGTGTGTGTGTGTGTGTGTGTGTGTGTGTGTGTGTTACTCTTACAGTGCATGTGTTTATCAGACAGTCTCTTCTTCTTCTCTGCAGAGTTCTGTGTGTCTGACGTGTCTCCGTCTCTAAATGTGAGCGAGCACTCGTTTGATCTCGTGTCACAAACTAAATCATCCTGAGCTCACAGATATCTTTCCTGCATAAGAGCTGATGTCAGTGAGAGATGACTTCAAGGCAGAGTGCAAACATGTAAGTATTCTTTAGCATCAAAGCTACATGTCACATTATTGCTATCATCAGTGGAACGTTACTCATTTATTCATAAAAACCACATAAATAATAGGTTACAAGGAAAAGCTCAGAGTTCCATAGGTTACGTACAATTACAGACGTGTTACGAGCAATTAACACTACCAACAAAAAGAGTTTTTCCATTTGATATGAAAGGCGCCCTTAAATAAAATGTATTATTATTATTAGTAATTATACTTTGGGTACTACTGAATTGAAGTGTAGTAAAAAGTACAATATGTACATCAATGTTGTACATTTTTCAAGCTGGCTTTATACAGAATTGCTCTTTTGTAAGTGGTTTGTCATTAAAGAATATTCACTTTTCATATATTTCGTTTTTTTTTTGTCAATGTCAAGCAATGTTTCGATCCTTGCTGTTCTCTTAAAAGGACATTATTACTGTCAGTTCCTCACCTTTATGAACATCTCTGCCACGAAGATGGCGGTGAAGATGTAGTTGGTCAGTTTGAGGAAGATCCGCTCCTGCAGAATAAAGAAAAGACACCGGGGTTAAGATGAGGTTCATGCTACAGTAATAGCGCTAATGATTTGAAAATGCACATTTGAGTTGCAGGCATGTTTTTCCACTGAGTTTGTTCTTTGTCTGCCTCTAAATCGATCTGAATAATGTATGAGGGCAGAAAACTGTACAAACATCCCTGATGCAAACACTAATGATGGCTGGCAGGCAATTATAAAGTTGACTATTTATTAACAGCCAGTGTTGTGTCCTTTTGCACTTTGAAATAGTGCAAATAAACTTGTTACAACTCGTTCTTAACCTTTGTGTTGTCTTCCTGTCACTGGGCAACGTTTGTCCTCAAGAATATCATCACAAATCTGTGTTTCTTAAAGGTCCCCTATTATGCTATCAGCTGATCAGATTTTGGTCACTTTGTGATGTCACTATGTTTTTTTTGTGTTGTGCAACCATTAGCCAAGCGTACCATAGAGGACCTTTAATATCAACACATTACCACAAGTTTTACCCGTCATTTGTGGTCAATACACTTCATTTACACTTTGTTAAAGCTTATTTTTGAGTTAAAAAGGGCTAAATATTTGAATTATTTGGCTCGAGAGGAACATATCTTTTTCGTGTCTATCTACGCTGGGATCCTGAGTCGTGGCTGATCCTGAGTCGTGGCTGATCCTGGGTCCTGATCTGAGTCCTGGACTCCGAGTCCTGGCTGAACCTATCTCTGTGGTCCTGCCTGACTCTCATCACACTACTTCCCTGATGGCTCCCACAGGATTGTTGACATCCTCGTGGATTCATCTTCTTATTATAGACGCATGCATTTCCAAACATTTGGTCTACCTATGTTGTAAATGTATTATCTCTTCGATTTACACACGGCATCTATTGCACGTCTGTCCGTCCTGGGAGAGGGATCCCTCCTCTGTTGCTCTCCCTGAGGTTTCTCCCATGTTCCCCTTTAAACTGTGGGGTTTTTCTCTGGAAGTGTTTCCTTGTACGATGTGAGGGTCTAAAGGACAGAGGGGGTCGTATTGTCATACTGATATTCTGTACAAACTGTGAAGTCCACTGAGACAAATGTAATTGGGCCATATAAATAAACATTGATTGATTGATATGTCAAAGTTAGGTCAGGATTATGTTTGTTACCGGCTTCAAAATGTTAAATGGCAGAATTGAATAACACCAGATGCTATAAATGTAAATAAAACACACATAAATCAATGAAATTAGTCATTCATCATCCATGTTATTTTTGTGGCAATTAAACATAAAATAAGCTTTTATACCGGCATAAAAACATCGACTAACGGGTCAGTTTTGAGCCGAGGACAAGAGGAAGGTTACATTAAACAAATAGGTACAAGTTGCTTTAAAACACATGAAATAAAGCATTTTTCCTCTACATTTTCTTCCGTCAATGTAGAGGAAAAGCACCATTGTTTTGTTTACTAAGCGTGCACGTAACACAACGCCATCAGTGTGCAGCTATTAGATCTCCAGAGAAAACAAGCAGCACAGAGATCCCTTCACTCACTGCTTATTTACCCCATAGAATGTGTGTGTGTGTGTGTGTGTGTGTGTGTGTGTGTGTGTGTGTGTGTGTGTGTGTGTGTGTGTGTGTTTATGTGTGTGTGTTTATGTGTGTGTGTGTGTGTGTATGTGTGTGCGTGTAGGTGGCTGCCTTTCCCACGGCCTCCAACTACCATCTCTCACACACACACACGCACACACACACACACACACACACACACACACACACACACACACACACACACACACACACACACACACACACACACACACACACACACACACACACACACACACACACACACACACACACACACACACACACACACACTCTTGGAATGTCGGGTATGACATCACTGGGAATGCTCTCGTTGAGAGGCTTTATGAATTCCAGGCTCGACAGCAGCCACTTTGATAATTGTTATATTATTTTCTCGCATACAGTAGGCTACTAAATACTGTTCTTTATCTGTGTTTTTATAGCTTTTTTGTCCTTGTTTCTAACAGTTATTTCCTTATTTCTCAACCTTTGCATAACTATTTTTGTAAATTACTTGTCACCTAGAAAGCTTGAAGTTAGTTAAATAAGTGTAAGGTATCTTCAGTATGTTCATATACCTGTAGTATGTGTAGTACGATGGTCTGTTCTAGTGTATTATCATTTACATTATACAGTATATTCTATAGATACATTCCAGATTTGATTGTTGATATGTACATATTTACTTATTTTAAATGTTATTTTGAACTTATGTACAATGCCTTTGAACCTGCTGCTTATGAAAAAAGTCGCAATTTTGGACCAATAAAGTATATTCAATCTGATCTGTGAATATGACAGCCCTATTTTGGGACGGTATACCTTAATGTTAAGAGGTTTATCATTAAGATGCACTGTACAGCAATACATCTGACATAAATATCTTGCCTAATTATGCAGTTTAAAAAAGTTCCTGTACTCCTGAGCGTCAGAAAACCAGCGTCAAACTAAATCTCCTGTAGAGTTTCCATCACGCTTCCGTGTGTAGCGGCTTGCTTTTATCTTAATTGTATCTGGAGGTGACGACGTGGAAGCAGGAAACTTAAGATTGATTGTGTTTTACACTGCTCATGCTGATATAACTCAATTAAAAAAGCTCCAGACGGTGATGCAGTGTCCCCAGGGTCATTAAGGGATAATAAATCATAATAGGTGGTATGATCATCCTAAATCATTTCCACCGGGCAACAAGAGGACAGTGTCCAGACAACCTCCGAAACAAACAGAAAGACAAATCTTAAGTGTGTGACATAACCTCCAGGACAAAAAAACAATCATTCAGCCTGTGACTTTATCTCTAAAGCTAAATTGACTCCATTTCTATTTAAATAATCTCTTTTTTTGGGGGCAATATGATGTAAAGCAAGGTTGTTGCACATAACAAAATCAGTGCGTGGAAATGGGCTTAATTTTTGCAAAACTACGCACACGGAAAAACAGATCATGCAATGACCACTCGGGTAAAATGAGATCAGAAGGAATAAGAATTGCATTTCAAAACGGGGGATGATGCTGAGTCATACATTAAGCCAGAGGCAGCAGATTGGACATGATAATCAAGACAGGAAGCAGAAATAATGTTAGTTTATATACATAATGTTCTGTGATGTTAATGTTAGTGTGCCCGCTGTGTTGGACCGGGAAAGTTAGCATAGAAAGGATTCCCTCGACAAAAAACGTTTATGATACTTACAGGTTTTGTCAAGCAGGAAAACCTCCACCTATTAACACCGCTTTATGATTGAAAAAAGCAAATGTTGGGCTATAAAGGAACTACAACACGGTCACATGACTTCACGTCACCACCGCTAAGCTAAAGGAGGCTAATGTTGGGCTATAAAGGAACTACAGCACGGTCACATGACTTCACGTCACCACCGCTAAGCTAAAGGTGGCTAATGTTGGGCTATAAAGGAACTACAGCACGGTCACATGACTTCACGTCACCACCGCTAAGCTAAAGGAGGCTAATGTTGGGCTATAAAGGAACTACAGCACGGTCACATGACTTCACGTCACCACCGCTAAGCTAAAGGTGGCTAATGTTAGGCTATAAAGGAACTACAGCACGGTCACATGACTTCACGTCACCACCGCTAAGCTAAAGGAGGCTAATGTTGGGCTATAAAGGAACTACAGCACGGTCGCATGACTTCACGTCACCACCGCTAAGCTAAAGGAGGCTAATGTTGGGCTATAAAGGAACTACAGCACGGTCACATGACTTCACGTCACCACCGCTAAGCTAAAGGTGGCTAATGTTGGACTATAAAGGAACTACAGCACGGTCACATGACTTCACGTCACCACCGCTAAGCTAAAGGCGGCTAATGTTGGGCTATAAAGGAACTACAGCACGGTCACATGACTTCACGTCACCACCGCTAAGCTAAAGGCGGCTAATGTTGGGCCATAAAGGAACTACAGCACGGTCACATGACTTCACGTCACCACCGCTAAGCTAAAGGCGGCTAATTGATTAATAATAGTCACCTTCTACATTAATTCCACAGGCTTACCATTTACTTCCAGACGAGGGGACAGGAAATGGTAAAAAGTTGAGTCATATCTCAGGTTTTAGGACTCATTCTTGCTCCACTGTTCTGTATTTACATATTTGTGTGTGTGCACAGATTAAATAATCCCATTTAAATGTATAAATGTGTGCGTGTGTGTGTGTGATCTTTGTGCCCTGATTAGAGCGTGCAGCCAGTCGGGTCGGCCTCCATTTGTTAAACATCTTCTTTCCTGGACATAAGCCACGTACGCCAGCCCACAGATAATCAAATCAATTACAAACGGCTCTGTGTCCTCTGTCGCAAAACAAGCAGAACGGAGCGTTCCAGGGAGAGCAAAACCGCAATTAGACCCGAACAAGGAACACCTCGCTCAGTGAGAAAAAGTGATAATTATTGTGTGTGTGTGTGTGTGTGTGTGTGTGTGTGTGTGTGTGTGTGTGTGTGTGTGTGTGTGTGTGTGTGTGTGTGTGTGTGTGTGGTGTGTGTGTGTGTGTGTGTGTGTGTGTGTGTGTGTCTGTGTGTGTGTGTGTGTGTGTGTGAGTCCTCTCCTGCTGATGTTCAGGTGTATATCAGTATGTAGTGTCTCTACTTTAAAGAGTCCTCTCCTGCTGATGTTCAGGTGTATATCAGTATGTAGTGTCTCTACTTTAAAGAGTCCTCTCCTGCTGATGTTCAGGTGTATATCAGTATGTAGTGTCTCTACTTTAAAGAGTCCTCTCCTGCTGATGTTCAGGTGTATATCAGTATGTAGTGTCTCTACTTTAAAGAGTCCTCTCCTGCTGATGTTCAGGTGTATATCAGTATGTAGTGTCTCTACTTTAAAGAGTCCTCTCCTGCTGATGTTCAGGTGTATATCAGTATGTAGTGTCTCTACTTTAAAGAGTCCTCTCCTGCTGATGTTCAGGTGTATATCAGTATGTAGTGTCTCTACTTTAAAGAGTCCTCTCCTGCTGATGTTCAGGTGTATATCAGTATGTAGTGTCTCTACTTTAAAGAGTCCTCTCCTGCTGATGTTCAGGTGTATATCAGTATGTAGTGTCTCTACTTTAAAGAGTCCTCTCATGATGTTCAGGTGTATATCAGTATGTAGTGTCTCTACTTTAAAGAGTCCTCTCATGATGTTCAGGTGTATATCAGTATGTAGTGTCTCTACTTTAAAGAGTCCTCTCATGATGTTCAGGTGTATATCAGTATGTAGTGTCTAACTTAGCAGAGTGAATTTATATAGTTTGTAATGCATTTCATGCTTTTACTATTAAATGTGTTTTGATACTCACAACCGTGGAGATGTAGGGCCTCTCCATGGCGATGGTGATGCAGTTGAGGAAGATGATGAGCAACACGATGTGGTCGAACATCTTGTGGGTGATGATCCTAGTGCAAACTATCCGAAACCTATGAGAAAAAAACACAGACACACATTTTAAACTTCAAAGATAGTAGCAATCAGCTGGCTACCCTGTCTCCTAAATGGTGGAGTGAGCTCCCCATTGACATCAGCAGAAACTTTGCACATCTTCTGTCCCAACTGAAAACGTATGTATTTCAATTGTACTTTGGCAATTAGGCTAGTGCTGAGAAGAAAACAGAAAAATACAAAGGTGTAAGATTAGCAATCAGACACTACAGCGATCATAAAATAAAACAAATTATGCTTGATTAGAATAATTGTTCAAAGGCCATTTTGTGAGAGTCCTACAGTCAGGCTACTACTGTGGTTAGAGGTCAGGTATTTCACAAAGTCGGAGTTTGATTCTTTATGGTTTTTGCACTTATTGTAAGTCACTTTGGATAAAGGTGTCAGCCAAATGATATGTAATGTAATTTTGGAAAACACAAAAGCCTATCTAGACGGTCCAGACTCCAGTCCGAGTTCGATAAAGCATGACATACTGTAAGAGACATTTAGTGAAACCCTGTCCACCACACTGTCACAGTAATAAAAGCCTCTGTAATGCACCGCTGCAGAATTAGCAGTCATTAATTACGTCTGACTTTCATTACTCGACAGCAGAGAGAAAGAGAGAGGGGACGCTTGTTATATACGGCGAGGGATTAAACACTGCATTCAAATCTGCTTTCATGTGCAGGCTCAGATCGGGATGTTTTGGCTTTATTTGGAAATGCAGACTCCATTCAGTGTGTGTCATGTGACTGTGGTGTTCATTCTGCAAACAGTGTGCAGACGGCATGAGATAATTCCTTTTTAATATCTGCACGGCGGAGCGTTGATGCTAAAGAAAGAGTGTTATCCTGCAGCAGAAGGGAGGGAGAGAGGACGTGGAAGCACACACCAGTTCCTCCTCCTGTTTCAGATCTTAACCAGTTTTTCTGTCCTTTCTGGGAGTTTTGATCACATGTACAACCCAGTTTAGATTCAACCACGCCCACTTCAGCATGACGAAAGCATTGACAGCTACAGTCGCTTCATAGAGCATCTTTTTCAAAATAGATTAATGAAAATAGCACTTTTTAAACATGACTGACAATCACAGTTACACAGAGCTGAGGTAATGTTGATTATATTAATATTATATTAAATCACTATGAACTACAGTCTGTTGCCTAATATTTATGGCATTTATTGTTATTTTTAGCAAATGACGGTTGACTTAGATATTGATTACAGTTAGATTTATACTTTTTAAATGTCAATAAGTGTGTTTCAATACTACTCAGCCCCTAGTTTAGCTGCTATAGGCTTAGACTGTCGGGGGACACCTCACTTCTTCCTTCTCTCTGTCTGCACCTGTGTACTCTCATGTTCCCAATAACCCAGCTTCCCCCAAATTTCTTTTTGGATCCTGAGTCGTGGCTGATCCTGGATCCTGAGTCCTGATCTGAGTCCTGGATCCTGAGTCCTGAGTCCTGAGTCCTGCATCCTGAGTCCTGATCTGAGTCCTGGATCCTGAGTCCTGGATCCTGAGTCCTGGACTCCGAGTCGTGGCTGAACCTGTCTCTGTGGTCCTGCCTGACTCTCATCATGCTACTTCCCTGATGGCTCCCACAGGATTGTTGACATCCTCGTGGATTCATCTTCTTATTATAGACACATGCCTTTCCAAACATTTGGTCTACCTATGCTGTAAATGTCGATTTACACACGGTATCTATTGCACATCTGTCCGTCCTGGGAGAGGGATCCCTCCTCTGTTGCTCTCCCTGAGGTTTCTCCCATGTTCCCCTTTAAACTGTGGGGTTTCTCTGGAAGTGTTTCCTTGTACGATGTGAGGGTCTAAGGACAGAGGGTGTCGTATTGTCACTGATATTCTGTACAAACTGTGAAGTCCACTGAGACAAATGTAACATTTGTGATATTGGGCTATATAAATAAACATTGATTGATTGATTGATTGATTGATTGATTGATTGATTGATTGATACTCTTGTACAAAATCTCAGACCTCATTTAATGCAAAAACATTTTCAGTGGTCTTTTAGTTTTTGTCAAATTGAAGTGTTTCTTGTGCTTTAATCTGTATAATATGACGTCAAAAGACACTTTTTATCCGTGAGTTGTGATACATTAGAGTATACATTATATATAAATGAATGCATGCTCTATATCTTCCAGCTTTTCCTCCACTTCTCGATTTAGCATCTCGACATTCTGACACCTTTTTCCAATATATTTCCTGATTTTCACACCATCAACAAACTCTCAGTGAAGCGTCTTCATTTCCTTTACATTTCCTCCCAGTCTTTTAACATCTCGGGGTGTTTTCGCACGGCTCTTCTCCAAAATCATCGTCACTTTCTCCGTGTAGGCGTTGGTGTGATGCTGCCTCTGCCTGGATCTGAAGAAGTGTCTCTTTGTGCACAACAGATAAGAGGCGCCATGCTAATTACCCACTTCTTCTTTTTCTTCTTCTGTGCATTTACAAACAAACATGAGACATAAAGCCGCATCACTTCCTTGTATGCTGGATGATTGCTTTCCAGGGGAGAGCTGACAGATGGCATTTAATGTTCCCTGCAGCAATAGGCGGTGGTATGGCGTTGAAAAGCAGCAACAACGAAAGTTTCTACATAAAAACAACAACAGGGATCACTGAGTTCACTGTTTACTGTAACTGTAAAACCCATGCTGTCTATTTGTTCTATTCCTTATCTGCATCTTATCTGCATTCAGTCTCATGTCCCTCAACAGCAGGCTTTTTATATACTTTAAAAGTCCCAAGAAATACAATTATGGCGCTTTTCCACTGCTGGGCCTCGCACGGCTTAGTACGGTATAGTTAGGCCTTGGTAGGACTGGCTCACTTTATGCTGCGTTTCCATTACAGTTTAGGAACTGGGGCAGTAACTATAGTAACGCAGTGTAGGCGGAGCCGTGACGTCATCTTCAATGCGAACCACAAAACCAACATCAGCCGTTAGCTGTTAGCACTCAGAGCTCACAGTTCCTCATATCTGTTCAGAAACTAGACAAAAGTTAAACAAGTACAAACCACAGACTGTCTGTGTCATGGTGAATACAGTCGCTGGTTTATTTATGTCTGTATAGGCCGTTGTTGTGAGTGTGGACGGTCGGAGCATATACTGCGTTAGCTTAGCCGATCTCCATTTAGACAACACGCATTTTAAAAGGTTTTTCGCCTGCCGTCTGTCTGCAGACTTGTCAAAGCATTAATTCATGGTTTTTACTAACCGGTATCAGTATGTTGTTACTTCGGCATCATTTTGAAACGTGTATTACAATTAAATCACGGTCAAATATGTTCATTTTGTTGTAGTTGCCAGCGATTCTCTCACTAGTTCAGCATACTCAGCCCGGTTGTTGGAACGGAAAGAACCTCGATTTTGGAGAGCCAGAAAACTGTGAAAAAGTACCCGGAACTACGCCTAGTGGAAACGCAACCAAAAACGGGCACGGCACGGCACGGCACGGCACGGCACGCTTAAACCGCGCTGTAGTGGAAATGCGCCATTAGTGAGGTAGGTTTTATACACTTAAGTCCCAAACCTCCCAAAACACACTAACAAGAAATACAAGAATGGGAAGCTGTATTTTAACTTCAGCATTTATTTCCAATATCCCAAGTTTACTAGTACTGATTTTTTTATGTTAATTGTTTATTTATCATATTATTTTATTGTATTTTTGTATTTCTGTCGTACTGGATGCTGGATTATTATTAATAATAATAATTTCAATAGTTTTTATATTAGATTTTTTATATGTTATTATTATAATATTTTGAATTAAATTATTATTTGCATCCTATTTCTATTTGTATCCTATAATTATAATTGTTTTCCTTTAATTATTATTATTATTATTATATTTTGTATTCCATTTTTTTTTATAATCATTAATATATTTATTAATATTACTATTATAGTTTCCGCTCTTTCTAAACTCCCGTTCTGTAATCTGTAATACCAACACACAGATCTGAAAGGCAGGTTGAGGTGAATCTGGTCCATGTGAAAACAGCTGGACTCCCCCCCCCCCCCCCCCTCACTGCTGTCTCTTGATGTGATTTTGAGCACAGCGGGGGGTCCTCGGTGATTTCGAGGCCAGAAAAAAAGACTCCATGCAGAGTCCGTGTCCTCGCTGTCAGTCTCAGAGACGAACCGAACCTGGAGACCCGCTGCGATGAAACCCAAAAGCCTTCACTTCTCCTCAGACTCCGGCAACAACAGAACACATGGAGCTTTTCCAATTAACCTTTTCACAGAGATGATGAAGCAAAAGATTAAACTGTAGTTCTTCAGGTATCGTGACGTGGACTTGAATCGACTCGAGTCACTGTTTTCATGACTTTGACAGAAAATAAATGACTTGACACGTTTTTACGGTGGTGCGAACACGCCCAAAATACGTCCATAAAGAGAAAAGTTCTGCAGTTTCAAAAACGACGGATCTTGGACAGAGGTGGGAAATAACTAAGTATGTAGTGTCTCTACTTTAAAGAGTCCTCTCCTGCTGAGGTTCAGGTGTATATCAGTATGTAGTGTCTCTACTTTAAAGAGTCCTCTCCTGCTGATGTTCAGGTGTATATCAGTATGTAGTGTCTCTACTTTAAAGAGTCCTCTCCTGCTGAGGTTCAGGTGTATATCAGTATGTAGTGTCTCTACTTTAAAGAGTCCTCTCCTGCTGATGTTCAGGTGTATATCAGTATGTAGTGTCTCTACTTTAAAGAGTCCTCTACTGCTGAAGTTCAGGTGTATATCAGTATGTAGTGTCTCTACTTTAAAGAGTCCTCTCCTGCTGATGTTCAGGTGTATATCAGTATGTAGTGTCTCTACTTTAAAGAGTCCTCTCCTGCTGATGTTCAGGTGTATATCAGTATGAAGTGTCTCTACTTTAAAGAGTCCTCTCCTGCTGATGTTCAGGTGTATATCAGTATGTAGTGTCTCTACTTTAAAGAGTCCTCTCCTGCTGATGTTCAGGTGTATATCAGTATGTAGTGTCTCTACTTTAAAGAGTCCTCTCCTGCTGATGTTCAGGTGTATATCAGTATGTAGTGTCTCTACTTTAAAGAGTCCTCTCCTGCTGATGTTCAGGTGTATATCAGTATGTAGTGTCTCTACTTTAAAGAGTCCTCTCCTGCTGATGTTCAGGTGTAGATCAGTATGTAGTGTCTCTACTTTAAAGAGTCCTCTCCTGATGATGTTCAGGTGTATATCAGTATGTAGTGTCTCTACTTTAAAGAGTCCTCTCCTGCTGATGTTCAGGTGTATATCAGTATGTAGTGTCTCTACTTTAAAGAGTCCTCTCCTGCTGATGTTCAGGTGTATATCAGTATGTAGTGTCTCTACTTTAAAGAGTCCTCTCCTGCTGATGAAAAAAGTACAATTTAGTGGTACTGAGTATTGAGTATTTTCATGTATTGCTTATTAGTACTTCTACTCCACTACAATTCAGAGGTTGTTGGACGACAAGTTTCCTCCTGTGTTTCAAGTTAAATTAAAAACTGAAAATGAATCTTCAGCACTTTTACAATGATTGATTTTTGTTATCAGCGTACAGAAAAACGATAGAGCCATCTTCCTGTCAAGACGAGGTTTTTTCACGTTGCATTTGACATCCCATAATGCTGACTGTGAGCGCAGAGTGTTTTTTTTTATTTGCCGCATTGTGAGCGCAGCATTTTCTGTCTTTTATCGGCTTCGATTCCCTCCCACAATCTCACTTCTGAAGTCTTTTTTATCTGCACTTTTCTGCCATGTCAGGGGGGAGTGAGGGAGTTTCTCCGGCGTTTTATCTCAATCCTTCCCTCTTCCTCACTCCCCCTCCTCCTCCTCCTCCTCCTCCTCTGAGGCTTTGATCCACGTCTGTTAAGAGGATGTGACTGTGAAGGCAACACATTGCTACCAAAGTACCGCAACATGCTGATTAAACACCAAAAAACAACCCTAACCCCATGTTTTTATGTAAAGAAAATATGTTGAAATGCTGATTTTAAAGTAAAAAGAGAACAGGGTAAAGAGGTTATATGGTATGGAGGTAAATACATGTGTAGATTCTGAAAAATATAACGTAAGTCAAGGGAACGTTTAAAGAACACACCCCAAAAATCTAAAATGTTCTAAATAAATGTAAAAAAAAACTTTAATGTTCAAGAAAAATCTGAAAAATGTACTAAAAGTATAACATTTTGCAGAAATATCTAAAATATTTTAAAAATAAATCCTTATAGATGCCAACTGAAAAGTACCCAATGGAAAACAATTTAAAATAAATTAAAAAATACTTAGGAAAATTGAAAAAAATAAGTCAATCGCTAAATAATGAGTAATGGGGTGTTTTTGTTCAAATTGTCGGCTGATTTAATTCATAACAAAATAATATATGTCTTTTTTTTAAATCTGTATAGTTTGTTAAGTACTGTAACTAAAGCTTTAAAATAAATGTAGTACATTGTAAGAGATATTTAAATGGTATAGGAGATGATGTATGTGGCATATAAATACTCAAGTAAATTACAAGTATACTTGAGTAAATGTACTTTCCCCACTGTTTTAGTGTGAGTGTTACCCATAGACTGTACAGACTGTATACAGGTGTTACCTGGACTCTGGAGGGAACAGGTACATTGACCAGGTGTCTCTCTGTCTGCACCAATCAGGCTGCTTCTTCTCCAGCCAGAGGAACAGTCTGGAAACAAGACTCTGCAGGAAATAGAGAACACATTTATTATTCATATTTGTACTGTTTTATATTGTGAGCTGCAAGTACTCTCCAGGGTTAGAGGCTTCTCATGTGTCCATTCTAATAAAACTGTTTACTACGTATACAACAAGGTTTGTCCTAAAGGGCCAACAGAAACATGGTCAATATGCAGGAATCTGGATATTAGCACGGTCACCGCTAAGCTAAAGGCGGCTAATGTTGGGCTATAAAGGAACTACAACACGGTCACATGACTTCACGTCACCAGCGCTAAGCTAAAGGCGGCTAATGTTGGGCTATAAAGGAAATACAGCACGGTCACATGACTTCACGTCACCACCGCTAAGCTAAAGGCGGCTAATGTTGGGCTATAAAGGAACTACAACACGGTCACATGACTTCACGTCACCAGCGCTAAGCTAAAGGCGGCTAATGTTGGGCTATAAAGGAAATACAGCACGGTCACATGACTTCACGTCACCACCGCTAAGCTAAAGGTGGCTAATGTTGGGCTATAAAGGAACTACAGCACGGTCACATGACTTCACGTCACCACCGCTAAGCTAAAGGCGGCTAATGTTGGGCTATAAAGGAACTACAGCACGGTCACATGACTTCACGTCACCACCGCTAAGCTAAAGGTGGCTAATGTTGGGCTATAAAGGAACTACAGCACGGTCACATGACTTCACGTCACCAGCGCTAAGCTAAAGGCGGCTAATGTTGGGCTATAAAGGAAATACAGCACGGTCACATGACTTCACGTCACCACTGCTAAGCTAAAGGTGGCTAATGTTGGGCTATAAAGGAAATACAGCACGGTCACATGACTTCACGTCACCACCGCTAAGCTAAAGGTGGCTAATGTTAGGCTATAAAGGAACTACAGCACGGTCACATGACTTCACGTCACCACCGCTAAGCTAAAGGTGGCTAATGTTAGGCTATAAAGGAACTACAGCACGGTCACATGACTAAAAAGATATTAACGTGCACTCAGGCTCACACACTGACCAGGTTAGCTTCTTCCTCTGCGTTCTCGTCCTCGGTGTTGTCCTCCAGAGAGACATGTGTTGGACCCAGTGATGCAGGAGATCCCTTCCCGTTGCAGTCGCTGTGTTCTGGGGTCCGTAAGTGTCCGAGTGAGGGGGGTCTGGAGCTGAGCATGCTGGCTGAGCGGTGCAGATTCGGCACCTAGACAAAACAAACCATGATAACTCTCTGTTACTTTTGGATGAGCTCAAAAACAAATGTGCAAGAAAAGACAAGAAAAAAATTGCCAACTTTTTGTACGTGCAGCTTCTTCATTTGGCCAAATCCACCATTTAAATAGCAGGTGCATATGATTTTTACAGGTATAGGAGTTGAAACTGATTGGTCCATAACACACCTTTGATAAATGAAGGGACTAAAAACAACCCCTTTGCCGGTTGCACCTTACTTTGGGGACAAAAAAGTGAAGTGTAATCTTTAAGACGTGCAATAACAGCGACAGTTTGTTGGTTTCAGTAGTTTTAACTGTAATGTCCAGAGTAATCTACCTGCAGCAGGACATCAGGAGGTAACTCCATGGAGCTCCTTGTCTCCAACGACTCCATCCTCCGGTGTCGAGGCGCTTTCTGAGACATGGAGTCTGTCCTGACCAGAGAGGCGTTATCTTCTTCCATCAAACCACCTCCACCTCCTCCTCCTCCTCCTCCTCCTCCTCCTCCACCTCCATCTTCTCCTTCTTCAGAGCTGGACCCCCCCTCCCCAGAAAGGAGGGACCGTCGCTCTCCAGACTGCTGCTGCTTCTTCTTGAGAGACGGAGCTCGACTCAAACTGTTCCAGCTGGAGCGACGGCTCGTCCAACCAATGGGGGCCGGAGAGGAGGAGCTGGTCTGCGGCAGGAACAGGACCAGGAGAGGGAGAGAATGATGAAAAAGCTAAACAAGTTGTTCTACTCTGAATTGCATTTCCTTAAAGGGGACCTATCATGCAAAATGCACTTTTGTACGTCTTTTCTACATGAATATGTGTCCCCGGTGTTCCAGGGAACTCACCAAGTGTCAGAAAACACAACCCTCTCTATTTTCCTCCATACCCAAATCTCTAAAAAAGGGGCTGCAACGGATCTGATAAAAACTGATCCAGATTTGAACACTGTCCTGACGTCAGGACGGTGGCGCTACGGCTATTGGGCCAACTCCACCAATCAGGAGGAGACAACCACGGCCATTGCCGTTCGAAAGCGCTGGAGACGCTGTAGTACATATGCCAGGCCTGTAGATGGTGCTGTTCTCACAGAATCAGCCCTTGCTAAAACAGATCTATAAATTGTCAAATTGAGCGAAATGAGGCATGGCTAAAATGCATGATCTGTTTGGTATTTTGAAAAAAAAAAAAGTATAAATATGCCTTATATAGGTATGGTCCTACACTATATTATTCAAATATAGCATGATAGGTCCACTTTAAACAACTTATCAACCTTCTTTGGCACCTCTATGTCGCCTTATTTATGTTTTCACTACCATTTTAGGGCAGAAATGCTAGTACTTGCAACTTGTTTGTTTGTTTGTTCACACCATGTAAAGTGGCCTTGGGTCCCTTGAAAGGCGCTATAATACATGTAATCTATTATTATTATTATTATTACTTTGCTTAGCATCACCAGCTTTATCAGCCTTTACTTGTCGAAGACTGTTGAATTTGAGATGTTATACTTGAATAAATTGTGCTAGATTGATAGCTACAGTTGCTTGTTTTTCGGTTGGATTACAAAAAGCAAAAGTGGACAATATATTTAATAAATACTCTCATTGCCAAAAGGGTAAACACACTTCCGCACTGTAAGTTTGACCATGGGGAAATAAATAATAACTAGAATACAAATGATGAGAGCAACCAAATTTGGCAATAGCTAGTCAGATAGATAGCTTATGTTTCCTTGATAGCTAGTGAGACAGATTGAATTTGCTTGCTTCGCTTATTAGCTCTATATTTAAAATTTGATAGCTGACTAGTTAGAAAGATAGCTAACAAGAGCTAGCTTGTATAGTAAATAGCTTTTGTTCGCTAGCTACTCTGAAATCCATCCAATATGTGCCATTCATTTCCCTTTGTCATATGTCTGTGTTTATTATATCTAACCTACTGTATGTTCTGGGACCATTTAGTAATTAGGGGAGACTCGTTTTAGGGTATTTGGTTTGTGTTAAAGGTGGGGTAGGTAAGTTTGAGAAACCGGCTCGAGATACACTTTTTGTTATATTCCATGGAATGCTCTTAACATCCCGATAGCAATGAATATCTTAAGTACTTTGACAAAAAATCCATAAAAAAATATCATCTGTGGAAGCCGTAATACTGTAAAAAGCACGACCAATCATCTGAGCCGGCCCGGCTAAAATAACTGGATGGCCTACCTGCCTGTCAGCCTTCCATCTGTGCACAAACTTATCTCGTGCCCTCATTGGTCATGTGAGCGTTCGTGTGTGTTGGAGGAGGGGCTTTGTAAGGAAGTGGCAGATTTGTTCCGGTTGTGTATTTTCAAATTCTAGCGCACTCCAGCTGGTTTCTCCAAAAATGACCTACCCCACCTTTAAGTGTTTTATACATGTGTATGTATTATGGAGTCCTTCCAATGTTAGCTTCTTTGTAAAACTGTAATTCAGTGTAATGATTGTACTTGTGATTGTATTGTGAAAGCAGGTCAGGATAAAGGTCTCACACGAGGGACAGCATGTAAACATGTTGATCTTGTTTCTACAAACCCTAGCAATGTTCTTCCTTCATGCAGATAAAGAGAGCCGAGTCGTTCCGACGTGATCTGAATTGAATAAAGATTTGTGCTGACAGGCGGACAGGAGCAGATGTGGAGATCTGGGCTCATTTCCCAGCTCTTTATCATTCTGTCAGAGGAGGAGTGGTAGCAGAGAGTAAAGTGTCGGAGCCGCACGCTACATTAATCTTCATCAATCATTACGACCTCCATCAGCGGGACACTTACCATGAATTCACTCTGAGAGACACTACGGAGTAACACTGGGAGTAAATCCTGACACTTAACTCCGTATACATGTACTAATGTTGGCTTTGTCACATCCTGCTGCAGTTATTACACTTATAAACTGCAACATGCTGTTGTTGTAGAGGTTATTTAACTGTTTTTATTTAGTCTTCATCTCCAATAACATTTTATTTTGGTCCATTTGTATTCTTTGTCCCAGTGCATGTGTACTATTGTTTGTTTTGTGACATCCCAGCCCAGGATTATTGCATTTGAAAACTCTGAAATGCTTTTTTCTTAGTGTTCATTTTTCTATTTGACATAGTCATAGTCTTCAATGAAATGCAAGTTTGATAAAGTTGTTATTCTTTACTCTTGTACATGTGTACTTATGTTGGCTTTGTGACATCCTTGAGCAGTTATTACATTTATAAACGGCACATTTTGGACTAGTGTTCATTTGACTATGTTTGTATTAAATCTTAGTTTTCAGCATTTTATTACGTTACATGTCACTTGTTAGACGCTTTTATCCAAAGCGACTTATTCAGTACTGTGGACAAGTGTCTTGCCCAGGGACACAACGACATGCTGACTGCAGTGGGACTCGAACTTGCTATCCCCCGATTCAAAGTTCAGCGCACTACCACACTGAGCCACAGCCTCCGCCAGCAGAATGTTCGTAAAGTTTTTTACTCGTTGATCGATCTAAGAAAATGCTTTTTGTTTAGTGTTTACTTTTCTGATAAAACTGGGTCAAAGTTATGGGCCTTGGAAAATATTCCCCCAACAGTATTAAGTCTTAGTTTTCAGCAGAATAAAATGTTGATAAAGTTGTTGTTTTATTACTCGTTGACATGTCTGGGAAATGATTTTAGTTAAGTGTTCATTTTCAATTTCAGTTTAGTCTTGGTCTTAAAAGAAACTACAATATTATTTACCCCGTACATGTGTATTAATATTGACTTTGTGACAATCTGGAAGAGAGTTATTACACTTAAAAACTGCTACATGCTCTTGGTATAACATTCATTTTTTTCTATTTTATTTAGTCCATTTCAGTCATGTTTTTTTCTTTCAAATACATTTCACTTTTCGTCAACAATATTGCATGTTGAAGTAGTCACATACATAGTCAAATAATCACTTGGTAATTTGGATTGTCTCTGTTGTAATTTAATATATTTTATTTATGTTTTGTATATCTATATAAACTGTAAAGCCCTTATGTGACAAATGTACAATTTGTAATTCATGCTAGATAAATAAAATGTGATTTAATAACATGGGTTTTGAACATGACGGAAACCTTGAACGTTTTTTTATTTTGCTTGTCTTTGCCATAATTACTATTATTATTATTGTTTGTTTTGTTTCTAAAATGTTCAATAAATTAACAAATACATTTTTTTTAAATGGTCTCGTTGAAAGTTAATTTCCCCACATTGATAGTTTTGTGTTGACGTGTTTGTGTGAGAATATTACTGAATCTACAAACCGGTGATTTGTCGTAGCAGGCCGGCTCCATGGAGACGTTGCTGCCTCTTCGGGACTCGAAGCCCAGGATGGGGTCTCCTCCGACGGGTAACTTCAGCACCGCCATGGGGGTGGCAGCCGTGTGGGTGATAACAGGCGGAGTGAGGCTCGTCTTCAGGTCCACGTGACCATTTACAGGCACTACTAGTGAAGGAGAGACGGATACAGAGGGTCAGATTTAGTGGAAAACAGAAGAAGGGAAGAGCGTTAAACAGGACCAGGGCGTAATGATTACTTATAGAAGGGCCTGATCAGAAAAAAGTAGGTAAAAAAGCCGTATGAAAGTGCTAACATGAATAAAAACAGGAAGAAAAAGTCAGATTTACTCGCTAACAGCAAAAGGATAAATGAGACTTGGATTAAACTGCAGGAGTTGTGAGAGTTTGTAAACTGATGATGGAGTTTCTTATTACGTCCATATTTACTTTAATCCATCAGGAACTGTCTATGTTATTGGATACACCTTGGAGGCATGCAAGAAACTCAACGTTATCTTCAGGAACTCGAGGTACCACCGGATGAATAATTGATAATCAGTATTTTTGTGAAATGGTATATATATATACAAGCGGCCGAGATGGGTTTTCTCCGCAGGGTGGCTGGCGTCTCCCTTAGGGATAAGGTGAGAAGTTCAGTCATCCGGGAGGGACTCGGAGTTGAACCGCTCCTCCTTCACGTCCTAGGGAGGTGTTCCAGGCACGTCCAGTTGGGAGGAGACCGAGGGGTAGACCTAGGACCAGGTGGAGGGACTATATCTCTTGGCTGGCCTGGGAGCGCCTTGGGATCCCCCAGTCAGAGCTGGTTGATGAGGGGAAAGGAACGTTTGGGGCTCTCTGCTGGAACTGATACCTCCACGACCCGACCACGGATAAGCGGGAGAAGATGGATGGATGGTATATATATATATATATATATAATATGAGTGTTGTGTTCAGTAAAGAGGATGAGGGCTTAGTGAAGGTATAGGAGACAAATGATGCATTAAAGATGACGTTAAGAAGGGCCAGATCAGAAACAAGTAGGTAGTAAAGCCGTATAGAAGTGAATGAAAGGGCTAACATGAATACAGAGAGGAAGGAGGAAGGAGTGCCATAGGGGTTCACCCTCAGCAAAGAAGAAGCATACTTAAAAATGGATGCCTCTTTCTGTTATTGAACAACATGAATATTTCAGCAGGGCATTCATCTTATGGGATGCGTGGGAGAAGATATTGTGTTCGGCAGCAACACAAACACATGACATGGCGGAGAGCAATGCAACTTTAATAACGATAATTCCTCCGTCTTTATTCGAATAAGTATATTCTTCCAGCAATGTAAGCAGTTTCAAACAGAGCATCAAACGAGGGGGGGGGGGGGGGGATACTGTACGTCTGGGAGTCGTTCTGCATACAGGAGCGTTTCCATCGGGCTTTATTAGTCCGTGCGAATGGTAATTAGAGGGTATGGGAACTGGCGTGTGAGGAATTATAGACGGGGCTGCTGTACTGTGTTTGCTCAGGGTTTACTTTGCTGTATCACAAACTTTAATATTCATTATGTAAGGAAAACACAGTGTGATCTACCAAGGATCTGACGAAGATTAGGAGGGGAAATGCTAGAAGTTCACCCCCAAAGTGAGCATTTGTGTATCTATCAATCACCCCCATGGTACCAATGTTGATTTTAAACGGAGAAATGTCTTGATAAATGGAAGTTAGAAACTGTATCAGAAACTAAAACATGGAGAGGAGGACACTGAACAGGCTGTTGTCCATCATGGATAACCCCCCACCCATCCTCTCCACCTGCAGCTGGACAGTCAACGGAGCTCCTTCTCAGACTGCTCCGCTGTCACAAGGACAGATACTGGAAAACATTCCTGCCCACTGCAATAACGGACCGTCCACACAGCAGCGTTAAAAAATCTTGAAACGCTTCTGCCCATTCACTTTGAATGGGGTGACGTCACTTTGCCTCACTTTTCGCCGAACTGCATTGTGGGCAGGCGAGCGGAGATTTTCAGGATTTTCAGGATTCAAAAGTTGAGCAATGTTCAACTTTTGAAGCTGAGGTGGAAGCGTCAGCCAATCAAATCCCGTGTATGCAAATCTGACAGTTCAAGCGCTAGCCAATCAAACCGCGTGTATGCTGGGAGAGACATACCGCAGGTCATTTCCTCATATTCCAAAACATGGAGGAGAAATTAGCGGTAGGGAATCACCCGGTGCTTTATGACCAGTCCCTATTTACCTACCGGGATACAAACCGGAGGAGCCAGGCATGGAGGGAGGTGGCAGAGACAGTGGTAGGTTTTCGCCTGTTTGGGGAGTTTATATCCAGTTTACTTCGGGCTTTTTTGCTTCGTATGTCGGGGGCGGGAGATTCATGTGATTGGTTGTTGGTGCCTTGCTCGCAAAAAATCCCCAAGCTTCAGATACGCCCACCTCCAAGATTTTTTTAATGCTGCTGTGTGGACGGGCCGTTACTCTGTACAACAAATCACCTCTGGCTGGAAGAGAACTCTCTGCTCCATAGCTTCTCTTGAAATAAAACCACGTTGTACATTTTACATTTATATAATCTGTTCAATATTTAATATGTAATATTAATATTCCATGTAATATATTTATGTATATATATATTTGTATATATAATATCTTGTCAAATTCTACATGTATATTTTCTATTTTCTTTTCTTTTCTTTCTATTCTTGTTTATTTCTATTGGGATCAATAAAGTACCATCTTATCTTATCTTATCTTATTATGTAAGAAAAACACAGTGTGATCTACCAAGGATTAGGAGGGGAAATGATAGAAATTAGAGGAATATTTCACCCCCAAAATGAGCATTATTGTCTCTATCAATCACCCCTGTGTTATCATGTATTGTTGAGGGAAATGTTGTTTTTAAACGGAGAAATGTCTTGATAAATGCAAGTTAATTGGGGAGATCAGCGAAACTATATCAGAGTATCAGTTCAGAAACTGTATCACAAACTTAAAGGTCCATTATGTAAGAAAAACACAGTATTAGGGAATGATTAGGGAACGAGAAAGCTAGAAGCTAGAGGAATATTTCACCCCCAAAATGATCATTAGTGTATCTGTCAATCACCCCTGTGTTGATAGAAACACCGAAATGTCTTCATACATGGAAGTTAATTGGGGACACACAGCAAAACTATATCAGAAAACCAATTTACAAACTCTTACAGGGCTCGTTCAGAATATTCCAAGTCCACTTAGCATTGCATGTGACCTCAAACATAGACATTTAAAACACGTTGGACTTCGGAGGAGTTTTTTGCAAGCTTAAGATGTTATTGAAAATCAAGTATTTGGGATTTAATTACAAGCAACAGGATACATGAGACTTGTGAGAGTTCGTAAACTGATGATAGAATTTCTTATTACGTCCATATTTACTTTAATCCTTCAAGAACTTTCAATGTTTTTGGATACACCTTGGAGGCATGCAAGAAACTCAAAGTCTTCTTCAGGAACTCGAGGTACCACGGGATGAATAATTGATATACAAGCAGTATTTTTGTGAAATGGTATATATATAATATGAGTGTTGTGTTCAGTCTTTTGCATTTCCTTTTCTAGCATCGAGTCATGTCACCTGCAGACGCTGATAAATCCTTCTTGCTGCCGTTAACATCCTCCATACTTCGAGCACAGGAACCGATCTCTGAAGGCGGTTTTGAATCCTCTCCCTTGACACACAAAGACATACAAAGAGTTAGAGAAAGGTCAAAGTGGAAATGTCCGTTTCTGAGTAGAGTTGAGATCCCTGCTGCATCTCATCAGATCTGACCTTGGATCAGTCACTAGAGGCAACCCCCCTCTTTAACTACCTGATCCCAGAGGTCAAAAGTCAAGGGGATGGTAAAAAAAGATTGAATATGTAAAGTGTTGTCATGCAAGGACAGTGATATAATTCACAGGTGAACCACACTGAAGCCCAATACAGATAATTAAATGCTCTTCAGGGTGAGGTGTATTATTGTTGTTATTATATTGGCTGCGGGTCAATTATTTTTACTTGGCTTGGGTTGTAAACATCGTCAAAAAACAGAGCTTCGGTGTGGTTTCTACGGACGATTTTCACACAAACACAAACCAAGAGGACTTCACTGTTGTGGAAGGCAATCTGTAAATCAGCAACTAAGAAGTAAAACATCTTGTTCCACCATCTTTCACAGACTATTCTCAACCTAGAGTGGTGCAGAAATGAGTCTAAAACTTGGAAAACACTCAGTATTTAACGCTTCCGGTTCCCTTGTTTCGAAGTTTTTTTAATGTGTTTTTAGTTGTTATCCTGAAATAGCTGAAGAAATGTTCATGTTTTGTTCTACGAGATAAAAATACGTCAGTAAATACCCCACTGGTGAATTTAAAAACGGCGGTTGCTAACAAGTGTCTAAATGAGACGACTAAACGTCATCACGCCAAACGTTAGCCGCCTTTAGCTTAGCGGTGGTGACGTGAAGTCATGTGACCGTGCTGTAGTTCCTTTATAGTCCAACATTAGCCACCTTTAGCTTAGCGGTGGGGACGTGAAGTCATGTGACCGTGCTGTCGTTCCTTTATAGCCCAACATTAGCCGCCTTTAGCTTAGCGGTGGTGACGTGAAGTCATGTGACCGTGGTGTAGTTCCTTTATAGCCCAACATTAGCCACCTTTAGCTTAGCGGTGGGGACGTGAAGTCATGTGACCGTGGTGTAGTTCCTTTATAGCCCAACATTAGCCGCCTTTAGCTTAGCGGTGGTGACGTGAAGTCATGTGACCGTGCTGCAGTTCCTTTATAGCCTAACATTAGCCTCCTTTAGCTTAGCAGTGGTGACGTGAAGTCATGTGACCGTGCTGTAGTTCCTTTATAGCCCAACATTAGCCTCCTTTAGCTTAGCAGTGGTGACGTGAAGTCATGTGACCGTGCTGTAGTTCCTTTATAGCCCAACATTAGCCGCCTTTAGCTTAGCGGTGGTGACGTGAAGTCATGTGACCGTGCTGCAGTTCCTTTATAGCCTAACATTAGCTTTTTACTTCAGAAATCATAAAGTGCTGTTACTTTGTGGAGATTATCCTGCTGAACTAAACGTGTAAGTATCATAAACGTGTGTTTGCTACAAAGCTTATTTTTCTGCAATAATCCACTAGGGAAATTCCATCCCATCGCTTTTAATCAAGGGAGTCTTTCACGATGCTTATTTCCGGGTCGGTCCACTCTATTACTCTCTTCTCGCCTCTTCACTTCTCTTACAAACTTATTTTAGCAACCCTCAGAGTTCCTGCTTGTTCTTCAGACTACATTAAAATGTGTGTGATGATGCCAGGTGGATTAAAGCCGATCCGGTGAGTAAGACCTCTGTTGTAGCAGAGTGGATCAACTGTGCGCCTCAGGACCTAATCACCATGCACCTCCTTTTAAACTATTTACTTTATTGATACTTCCCATGAGTGTGAGAGAAAGACTAATATGTTTGTGTTGTGCTGTTAGGTGTGTCTATCTCTGAGGCACTTCCTTCTAGTAAATCAAGCCCCAGAATGATTTCCTCCCGACCTGGGAAGTGTTGGGACATTAGGTTAAGGAAAGCAGATGCTAATAAACTAGCGAGCAAGTCGACTCCAGGGCTACTCGGTAGTTGCTGTGCTCATCACGTTCCTGCATTATCACACTTTCTCCCATTAAAACATCATGTGGGAAACACCCGGGGAAGGCTACTTTAATTGACAAGGCATGACAATTAATAGACGTTCTGGGAATTTGTCACCCCTTAATTTTACTTGCCGTATATTATGTTAACTAAAGCATGTGTCCTGCATAGATTAGGGGCTGTGGCTCTCCATGATAATGCCCTGGTTATATAAGAGATGTGTCAAATGTGGAAAAGTGCAACGTAAAGTAGTGTTCGGAGACAATATGAGGTCCATTTTAGAGGCACAAGCTGTGACGCATCAAGTTGAGAATGCTTCAGTTCGGTCAAAAGATATGCGGTTATATAAAGGTTTTATTCTAGAAGTTTTTCACATAATAGAGAAAAGGAAAAAGACGTGAGACTGGAGGTATAACAGAAACAGCTGGATGTTCTAGTACGTTTACAAATGTAACATTTCATTGGTACACCAGATGGGGAAATAAACACAGAATATCCAATGGCCGAATGTGCACGAATTATACAAGGTGAAATGTTTGTTTCTGTCTGAACACCATGTTCTCTCCAAACTCGAAACAGATTTCTTAGTGTCTCCTTTTAATGGCCTGGACTGGTCTTTAGCGTCATTTTATAATGTGTAGTGCAGTTTGATATACTTCAACACGCGGTTAATATTACCTTAATGAATGTGACACAAGCTGCGTATGTCATACTACTACTTAGGTTGAGGAAAAAGACCATGGATTTGGTCAAGTAAGTTTAATAACTAAAGTAACTTGCATAAATTAATGAGATCTTTTTGGCCCAAGTCCTGCATTTCAGCGCCGTCCACTTTGACTTCCACACGTAAGTCTTTTCATTTTTCTGTATACTTCGTCACTTAACTTCTCTTTTACTCCCCGCATCATGACTACGGTAAACATTGAAGCTATAGGGAAATGTTAGGCATCATGATTTAGGTCCATCGTCAAATATGTTGACCATAATTTGTGAAATTGTGCTTATTTCTGGTCCGTTATCACACCATTGTGTCCAGATGATCAAAACCGTTATATATCGGTGCAAATTTAAAACAACAACCTACTTATACAAAATCCCATCTTCTTTTTAATGCTAGATTTCTGCAGACCAATAAAAACCTCTTCTCTCCAGCTTCACAATGATTTACTCTTCATGTATGGGTAAGATAACCACAGCTTTACTTTTCCAATAGAAGTCGATGCATGCAGAAGTTTCCTCTTCACCTGGAGGACCGACACTAGAAGATTAAAAGAGGTGATTACTTCTCTTTGCTCGATATCTCGGCTACTCTAATGACTCCTTTAAGGAAAGCGTATGCTGCATAATAAAAACAAAGCTTTATTATCCACGAGTCTTTGTGCAGCAGTAGTATAAACCTTTGATATATCTTCAGATCAGGATGTACATTGCTGAGTGATCGTGACAAAAGCTCGCACTGACCTCAGATCTCTTTTGGAGTTAACGGTGCAATTAAGAAACCCAAAGTAAGTCGTTAAAGTGGCTGAAACTACAACAGAGAGACTTTAATCCAGCTCAGCTCCGGACAAATTCCCTTTAGTTTCCCCTCTGTTGTTATTCCTTCTTACTTTCTCTGGCTTCTATATCCTCTTCTCTGTATCTTTCTTCTGTCTCTTATTTACTCTTTCCCTCTCCGGTTCATCACAAACAACTCTTTCACAGGCGGAGATAATCCGTATCTCAGCTGTCAGAAAACAAAAGCTCTAAAAAACAACAAGAGTGAATCTGACACAAAAAAACTACTTTACTGTTTCTTCTATTTTAGATCAAGGCATCTCAGGTGAGTTATACAAGAGGGAATCGACAGAGAGGGTTTCACTGTTTTTGGTTTTAAATCTTATCTAGGTATGGGATACGGAAACCTTTAGAGGACAGTGAGAAAAAATGAGTTTGACGGGTAACAAATACACTTTTTTTTGCCCAAAACTTGTTTGTACGTTTTGTAACTTGTGCAAAATGGTTAAAAAAGGTCATGCCAAGAACATATTGGCTCAAATATACAAAAAAATGTAATTGGAAAAAGTTTGCTGGGTAAAAAATCCCCTTTTTAACCCGTTTTGTAAGTTTCATAACCTGTTCAAAATGGTCAAAAAAGGTTATGCCAAGTTATGGTAAGTCTCTTAATTTTGTATGCAATCTTTTATGACAAATAATTAAATTCTAATTTGATTTGAGTCCATTTGAAATGACTTTACTCAAATATTGGCATCCCTGGACTTCCATAACTTAATTGTTGTGAATGTTATTAATGGTGTTATTTAGAGGTTTGCTACAGCAGCAGTTATCTGATTCAACTCTGGCTGTTGTAGGATACAATTCTGGTGGACACACACACACACACACACACACACACACACACACACACACACACACACCACACACACACACCACACACACACACACACACACACAACACACACACACACACACACACACACACACACACACACACACACACACACACACACACACACAAAAACACGCACACAATTACCCCTTTTCCTCCTATCAGCATCCACCCGACAACATCCATTTACACCCTCCTTTGAGCGGTGTAATTGAGCTCCCCTGGGTGCTGTTGGTGTATAAATATATACTGTATATAATAGTATGGTCCGGCTCCGGCTCCGACACCGAGCCCAAATTGGGGCGGCGGAGAGCAGACAAGCTTACAAACAACGACGCAGCTATTTCAAGACCAAGGATTTCCCTCGAGTCCAGGCCAAATTACCCCCCCCCCCCCCCCCCCCCCCAACCCTGGTCACAAAGATATAATCTCCACCTTTCATTTTCCCCAGTGAAACCTCTAAAGCAGGGGTCACCAACCTTTTTTAGGGTGAGGGCTACTTTTAAAAAATAAAACAAGTCGGGGGCTACTTTTACTCCTCTTTTTCTTCTTTTTTTTTGCAGTGTATATATTTAGCACATTTTAACATTATGATATGCTGACCTTTAACCTTTGTGTGCTGTTTGGGTCTGTGGGACCCGTTTGCAGTGTTTACTAAAAGAACATGTATGCA